TGGCTTCCTTCTGTCCTCTAGCACAGTTTCACTTGGCTCACAGCCTAGCTTTCCTGACTCCTGGTGACCAAATACTTGAGGCATACTTTGTATCCGGTCCAGAGCCGTTGAAATTCAGGTAGTTTTTAGATGCTGACTGAGTGTCTATGGCTTCTCTCCTAATGCAACCCTGTACAAGGTGGGAGGTAGCTTTACCTGAACTGATTCTGTCATGCCTCTGATCATAGATGTTACAACAGCCTGGGCATTATGAAGCTGTTCGGAGGCTTCAGAAAGATCCATCGGCCCAAATCTACTGGCAGGTGCAGGAGACTATTCCTCATTTAAGACTCCTGGCCCTGGTTTGATCTTTGTGATTTAAGGTGAAAAGTCGTCAGGAATGTCCAGCTGGAAAAACTGGGGACCCTGCAAGTGGTACAAGGGCCTGAACTCTGCCACCAGATCTTCTGCAAGGGGGCTGCAGCTACCCTGTCCAAGCTCACAGCATACAGGCTTGGGCCAGCTGGAGGGGAGAGGGTTGGAAAAAATCACACAAGCCTGGAAGAGACACAAGTCAACTCGTGCTGCATTGTGCAAAACAGCTGTGGTGTTGGCATAGTGCAGTGGGAGCACTGAGATTTTATTCCCCTCCTTTTAAGGGGAGAAAGGTGCTAATGCTTTTGGCAAAGAAAACAACACGTGCCATTCTAAAGCCTAACCTTGATGGCCTTTAGTGTCTAGGGCTGTAGACACAGCCTTTTTTGTTATGGTAGCTGTAGTGCAGAGGGACCCATCCAGCTCAGCTCTACTTGCTCACCCTCCTGACATCCCAGTAGTGTCTCTACCAACTCTCTTGGGGAGAGGGGAGTTTTCTCCCAAGCTGTAAACGCAGGCAGCTGCCCTAACTGCAGTCCAGCACGGTCTTGCTTCTTTTGGGCCTGTCGCCCAAGTGCTGTTCTCCTGATCTGTCAGCCTGCTTGTCCACATGGGCCCTGATAATGCATCTAGTGTTCCTCCTGGCCAGCCAAGCCTCCCAGAAGAAACCCAACCTTTGGCTGAATTATTGATGCCCTGGAATGCAGTATGACTCTCCTCTTCCTGGAGAGCGAGAGTGGCGCTCGACAAAAGGCTGCCCTGCATTATTAATCACCTCATCGGCTTCCCTGCACAAAGATGGGACTGTTGCTCAGCTGGGTCAGCTGCAGGGATGCTTCCTGCAGGCCAGGATCATCAGAGCCTCTCAGCACTGTGACCTGGAACGTGATCCCAGGATGCAGAGCCTGGAACTGGTTCAGGGCAGGACTGTTGACCCAACCATCAGGTGCTAGAAAACAAATGGGAGTAGTTCTGCCACAGCAGGATGGAGGAGCTTAAGGTTCTCCCCAGACATCGCAATTGCGTGTGCTCTGCCTGCCCTGATGCTCCGCACTGAGCCTGTAGGTCAACGTGATGAAACCAAATAACGCTCCCATTTATGGCAGTCCGGAGTATCTGGTGCCGCAAAAGACAGCGATGCCTCTAGTCCAGGAGCAGCAAGACACAAAATGTTTTTAATCTGTCTTTTTACAGTCAGGAGGCGTGACTGATCAGCTTGTCTGTTCGCGTGCATCTCTTGGCCTCACAGTGAAATCTTATGTCTGTTCAATGGGAAGGAAAAATAATGAAATTTCTGTGAGTGTTACAAAAACAAATTCCTAGAAACAGAAATCCTTTATGGGGGAGTTCTGCTTGAAATGCTTGAGTAGCCAGACTTCATAAACTGCTGCTGTTCTACCCTGCTTTTCAATGGGGACACTGACTTGGGCAGCCAGTAAAGAGGGGGTCAGCAGCTGAGACCTGTCACCTGAAAGCTCAGATCTCTTCTTGCACCAGAGGAGAAAAAGAACCAGCTCATAGGATAAGGCGGTGTAACTTACCTCTGATCTCCTTCATGGGCTGTGCTTTCGTGAGAAGCTTCATCTGATCTCACTGCAAGCTGCTCCTGTAAGAGGTGGTCCTGCTGTCCCCTGCACCTGACGGCACATTGAGCAGTGCTGTGAAGTCGGGTGAGCTCTTTGATCCCTCTAAAATGTCGTGTTAGAGGTGAGGTCAAGCTGGATCAGTGGCTCCCGATGCACAGACCAGGAGGTGGAAGTGTGCTGCAGGGGAGGAAAAGAGCACTCTGCATCAACCTGCCATGAGATGGTACCAACCGCCCCGAGGCTGTGCCTGGGTCTGGACATTGCAGCATAGGTGACCTCTGGGCAGGGGTGAGTGAGACACTAAGGGAATTAAGTGTAAGTGGAGTAACAGCCTCCCAGCATGTGAGCTACAGCCTGCCATGCCCTTGCACCCACTCCATGACATTCATGCCCTGCTTTCCAACTCTGAAAGAGAGCCTGAGTAAGAGATTGTTTTCTGGCCTGACTCTTTGGAGCCACAGGCTGTGACTGATTCTTGCCCATCCTCCCCTCCTGGCATAGCCCCCAGGCTTGCAGTGAGGTTGGTGCCTGTCTTCAGCCCTCTTGCAGGACAAACAGCTTTAGTGCCTGACTTGAGGACTTGAGGTAAGAACTGAGTTTCTGAGTCCTGGCTGCTCTCTGGCCAAGTGCTGGGCAAATGACCCACGTTATTCCACCACACTGGGCAAAGGGATGGTTACAGAAAATTGCTGCAAAGGACAGTGATGCTTGGGGATGCTCATGAATATAGCAACGGACCCCAGAGCTGGAGTGATCCAAGAGCGTGGCAGTAGCACTGCGGAGATGCAGGAGGGCTTCAACAGTGGTCTGACTCTGCAGCAATGCTGTAAGAAGCCGACTAAATTCAGCTGATAAGAAACTGGGTTTGACTTGACAGCTCCAGGGCAGATGCTGGTGCAGGATGAGTCTAAACACAGGAAGAAGAGCTGGACTTGAAAGTGAGATGAGATCTCAAAAAGCTGACTGGGAAAGGGGGGCAAGAGAAACTGTTATGCTTGCATCAAAGAATCTTGGCTTGTTTAAGAAAGCTCTTAGGCAGATGACTTGAGAATCGGTGCCAAATACCTGGGAAGCCCCAGTTTGCTGCATGGCAGTGACTCAGCCCAGCCTGGCAGAGTCTGACAACAGCCCTGGGCTTCCAACAGTGACAAAGGAAGAGAGCCTGAGCCGCTCACAAACGTCTGGTAGTCGTGTGTGTCCCCCAAAGACAATCATAGACGTTGGGTACAAAGGAGTACAAACACCCTCTCACCTTGAATCTGCTTTTAGCCATGTCCAGCAATAGCCAGGGGACCATGGCAAGACTGAACTGAAAATAAGTGCCAGTAACCAGGGGCTCCCAGTGCTGAGGAAGAGACATGGGGAGCGATCCCTGGTCATGCGTGGCTGCTACTCAGCTGTCCCCACCGAGCTGCAGGAGGGAGCGTGACTGTCCTTGCAGTGGAGTGTCTGGCACCACTGACAGCTGGCAAAGCAGTTCACTGGCCCAAACAGGTCACTGTGTAAACATACCTGCAGGGCGTGTATATCTCGGACATCTAGTAACGTTTGCTCAGGGCTGGTAGCAGGACTCGTAAAGGTTGTTTGCCTGCCTCCGGTGCTGGTTCTGGGCTTGCTGCTTATCTCCCTTGGTTCCCAGCATTGTGCTGGATGTGAACGCAGCTGGGGCTGTTGGGCAGTCGCAGGAACAGAGCTTGCCAGAAAGCCTTTCAGGAGGGGCAGCTGACACCTCACCAAGACCCCATGAAAAGGGCATCTTGGCCCATCTAGAGCTGAGCTGTGGGATAGGGGAGGGGAGAGGAGAAGCTACAAGTGGCAGATCAGTCAGGAGTTGTATTTAATCTAAGAATTTTAGCCAGGCTTTAATCTTTTAGCAGCTGACTGTACCAGGTATTGTACAGTACCACATCCTGATAACTCAACAGTGGCACCAGAGGCCAGCAACAAGGGCTAAAAGGACAACTGCAACCTCTGTAGGATCCCAAGTGGCATAGCTGTCTAAGGGGGTCTTTTAGTATGATCCAACAAACTGCTGGTTCTATCAAGAGCAGGAAATTGTGCTTAAAAATACACTGAAGTTGGCCAACATCACGGAGAGGACCGAGTAGAAAATGGGGATGGGGTAAGAGGGAATGGGCTCTTCTCTCAGAAATCCCCCAAGGAAGGCAATGGGAGGTGCCCAGGCCATCTGACGCTGCACCTCCAGACTGACAAACCTTGCTTGTCAGATGTCACTGCCCAGTGTGAAAACACTGAAGACTTGCACAGCCTGCTTTTCCCTGCTGCTAATTTTAAACTCAAAAGGAATAACAGAGGGAGGGAGAGTCTGTTGCCAGTATGAATCTTGAGTGCTGAGAGAAATATAACATTGTCTGACTTCTCTCAATACCCTGTTTTAGAGCATGTCCTAGAGGAAGAGTCACTTGCTGGAAACATTTTTATCTAAATCCTGAGTTTGAGCCTCCTTAAACCTCAGATGCTCAGTTGGCAGCTCACTGCCAGCAAGGCAGGGTGTGAGCTGGGAGGCAGCGCTCAGGCACTGTCAGGCTGATGGTTGATGGAGGGCACTCACAAGCCCTGTAGCAAAACCAATGATGTTGTGTACGTGCTTCTCTAATAAGATGAGAAGAAAGCCTGACTTGTGAGGTGGTAGTG